GGCCTGATGCAGAGATCAATGCTCACCTTATGGCAAAAACAGTTCCCTTTATGAAAATTAAATTTTTTAATTTCTCCAGACATCAGTTATTTAACAAGAACAAATAAGTCAGTAAAGCAATATTAATTCACCAAAAGGCAGCAATTTTCTGCACATAAAAAATCTAACTGAGAGAAATACATGTGACTTACCTATATTAATTGATATGTTTGAATCTAACATATTTTACAAATTACGTATTAACAATACTTTCAACAAACCAAATGTCAAACTTTTCCTAAACATTAGATAGAAAGTAAAAACTGTTGAAAAAGGATACTCTTTTTCGAAGGTGATCCTGAGGCAATCCAGCGGTTGTTCATCTTGTGCTTTGTGGTTAAGACGAGATACATGGTTCTGCAAAGTGGCTGTTACCAACAAGTATTTGTCAGGCTCTGTTTGCTCTGAGATCAATTGTTCTGTTTCACCAACAATTGCCCACCTACAAAAACATCAAAGGCTTAAACATTTTTGACACATGCAAAATGTATGTTATGCCTTGGCAAAAAGAATATTTTCTCTTTTATCCAATACATATCTAAACTTACACAATTTTGCTTTAAATACAGCGTCTCCTCACTTAGCGACGTACTCGTTTACCGACGACTCAGACTTATGATTGGGTCTCTGACCAGTAAGCATACCTAAATAATGTAGATTAGAGCTATTTCCTCTATTCTGTTTATTACAATACACTACTGTATAAACATTTAAAAATATGCCAGAAACGTTATAAATGGTGCAAAGGTGACATTAAAACAATATCAAAGATGGTTGGTACGAGGTAGAGGTTGACCTAGGAAAGGTTGGAGGGAAGGGGTAAAGGAGGTTTTGTGTGTTAGGGGCTTGGACTTCCAGCAAACATGTATGAGCGTGTTAGATAAGAGCGAATGGAGACAAATGGTTTTTAGGACTTGACGTACTGTTGGAGTGTGAGCAGAGTAATATTTATGAAGGGATTCAGGGAAAGTGACAGGCCAGACTCGAGTCCTGGACATGGGAAGTCAAGTGCCTGCACTCTGAAGGAGGGGTGTTAATGCTGCAGTTTTATAATTGTAGTGTAAGCATATTTCTGGCAAGACAGAGATGGAGTGAATGATGGTGAAAGTTTTTTTTTTTTTTTTTTTTGGGGGGGGGGGGGCCCACCCTTCCTTGGTGGAAAATGGCTGATGTATTAAAAAAAAAAAAATTCCTCTACTGGCACAAGCCTCTTAAAGGTCCAAGTCCCTCAGCACTCAAAACCTCCCTCCAACCCTCCACCACACTAATTTGCTCCACCCTCTCTATACTGTATGTCCAAACTGTTGTAACAACCCCTTCTCTGGCCTCAGAATAATGCTTGGTAACTCTCACACCTAATCTCCATGCTCCAAATTCTCGGCATAATATTCATCGTATTTTCACTGCCTACAGCCTCCTCTTCACTATGACATTTAAAACCCATGCTTCACACCCATAGAAGTGTTGGTACCACTATACTCTGGTACATTTACCCTTTTTGCATCCATGGATAAGGTTCGTTGTGTCCACAGATGCCTCAATGTACCACCCACCTTCTTTCCCCCTCTTCAGTTCTATGGCTTACCTCATCTTATCTGCCAACAAGTAAACTCCCAAATATCTAAACACATTTACTTCACCTTTACCCCGTCACTCTGATTTGATAGCCAGTCTTCCACTGTCTAGATTTCTCGTTACCCTTATTACCTTGCTCTTTTCTATGCTCACTTTTAACTTCCTTCTTTCACATACCCCCCCCAAATTCTTCTACCAGCCTTTGCACCTTCTTTTCACAATCTCCTATAAGAACCATGTCACCAACAAAAAGGTACCGAGACAACTCTTACATTGTATCATATTCATTATCTTTTAATTCTACAACCCTCCCTCAGCATTCACTTCTTTTACAGCCCCATCTATAAATATGTTAAACAACCATGGTGGCATTATACATCCCTGTCTAAGGCATATTTTTACTGGAAAATGACCCCCCATCTCCTTCATACTCTAACTTAAATCTTGCTATCCACACAAACTCTTACTGCTTTATAATCGACTACCTATTCCATACTGTCTTATTTTTATTTTCAACAACAGCTATTATACACTTTACCTGGTATACTCAATAGGCTTATTCCTTTATTACTCTTACATTCTTTTATCCCCTTCTCCCACATATAAAGGAACTAAGCATACTCTCTGCCAATTCTTATTTACCTTTCCCATGCATATAATGATGAAATGTATCAACCATTCTAAAACTACATCCCCACTTGCTTTTAACATTTCTGTAAAGTAAAAGGACAAAAGTGCAACTAATGTGACATTTTATTGTGGCAATGTTTCCCTCTCCAGGAGCTCTGTCAAGCCGTTACAAACAGTACATGGACACAGAGGGTATATATAGGCTCAGAGTGAGGTGCAATACTAGTTGCACTTGTGTCCTTTTACTTTACATATTGTCGGTAATTCTACCAACATTATTACAATCTTTTAACATTTCTGTCGCGATCCCATCTGTTCCAGCTGCTTTACACCATTTGTCTTTCCATTTCCTCACACACCTCCCCCACCTTGCATCTTGCTCTTCCTCACTCCTGCAAGATGGTATATTTTCCTGTCCATTGCATGAAATCCCTGCATCTCTTTCTTCTTCAACTCAAAATATTCCCTTCATCTTCCCAATACCTTCACATCTTAAATAATGGCTGTCCTTGACTGGAACGATACACAAATAACCCGCACATAGGAGATAGGAGCTTACGACGATGTTTCGGTTCAACTTAGACCATTTACAAACTCCTCTTTAGTTTTAAACTGTTAAATCCATTTGTTCCTTAGACTTTCTCAACTTACTGATCTCATTCTATAACTTTTTATTCTCAGCAAAATTTGTTGATAAAACTTCACCCACAGTTCTTAGCACATTTTTTTTATTTCTATTTTACTCTCCACATATTAACTCTTCAACTTCTCATGTGCTAACTACTTCTCTCTTACCACCCTCTTCACCTCCTTCCACCAATTGCTTCTGTTCCCTCCAGGACCCAGCCTCCCATACTTGCACTGAACATTACATTCTATACCATCACATATGTACGTGTACATATACAATAACACCTTTCATTGATGGACCTCTCATTAACAGATAATTGGCAATTTCAGATAAAAAATTGGCTGGGCAAATGCTGTAATTATCAGACAAAATGGACAAAATTCTGTAATTCCGTATTTTGTCTGTAGTGATAGTGTCTAGCTGTCTTCTGAAATATCAGGTTAAGTCTGCTAACTCCAATGTTTGTCCAGTACAGGCAAAACTGCCTATGTTCAGTCCTATCCATTTTCATTGTTCCCAAGCCATAGGCCATTCATACCAGTACTGTTTGTGCTCACTCGTGCATACACTTGCAATTCAGTTTCTAATTTTCCCTAGATTTAAAACATTTCGTGACTTTATTAACATTATGTAAAGTGCAATTAACAATGGCTTCTAAAGCAAGTGCTGGGGCCCAGAGAAAATGTATAGTTCTCAGAAATCTGTCTTCTTGGTTATCTACATCATTTGTACTAGTAGAGTTTTAACTTTTATCTTGAGACAGAGATGATGTAGTCTGACTCACCACTATTGATCACAGCCATTTAAACTTCATCTCTACACCACAAAAGGTAAGTAAAATTTTTGTAAATTACACAAGTACTGTACTCTAAAATTACGATACAACACAGTACTGTACTGCAGTACTACAGGTAACAATACCTGTATTCTTAGTATCAGTTGTCTTCTGCATGAGCGGACCAAGTCGCTACTTCAGAAGACAACCAGATGATCATGAAATATTAATTTCATAATTCAGGAGCTGGGTAAAATTGAAATGATCATAAACTCCCTCCCTTGTTAGTCTGTTAATGAGAGGCTTTACTGCATCTGTTTAATAATCAAAGCTTGTGAACAAGATAACAAAATTTTAAATATAGTTCACTGCATTATGAAAATACATTATCAGAACAGAAAAAATGAAACTCTTAATAAAAAAAACTTTAAGGCACATTTCCACTCTCAGCTTCAATATACGTTTTGAATTTATGAACTTACCATAATAATTCATTAGAGTCTTTAGACAGCTTCCATGCCAAGTCAAACATCAAAGTTGCAGTCTGGGAAGGGAGGGAGAAAAAAAAAAAGTCACTCTCAGTTATGCACAACAGGTAGAATTAAAATCAGCCAGACACTAAAAATTCTGAAAAAAACTGAAGCATCAACCAAGAAAGCTACAGAATAATTTTACTGATGAAATATATGAAAAACATCTAAACATATATCATACAAGAAAAAAGAAATCACATACATTACTCATACAGTACAACAAAAAAGTGAACATATTAATATTATGGAAGTTTTGAATTAACACACACAACAAAGTATGAAATTTCATTATAAAACAACTAGCAGACTTCAAGAGATTAACTCATAATGTGAAGGAGGGAAAAGGGTTGAAGAGTGAGAAGTTACCAATAACAGACTTTGAAATGAACTGAGGTGTAACACATCTTAACTTGTAAACCCAAGAAGAAAAAAAAAAAGGAGATAGTGAGGTGGTCATAGTCTGGAGGGAGAGAAAGGAAAGGGGAAGTGGAAAAGTACAAAGAGTTAGGGGGAAAGAGAAGGTAAAAAAGAGGAGAGAGTAAAGAGTCAACTCTCCACCTAAAGAAAATATTTATTACTACAGTACTGCACATGGATATAACTGAATCCTCCTCAAGAGATGTTTTAGATTAGATTAACTGAAGTTAATTAAATCTAACAGAATATGAATACAATACACCAAAAATGTAATATCAATCAATCAAGTTTATTCTCTATAAGGATTACAATGCAGGGTTTACAGATTTTGGTTATTGTGTGGTTTACATGTAATAAAATGCTAATTACAGAGGGGGCCACTAGGACACCTAGCATGGCTAGGCATTTCGGACAGACTTAGATTAATTCTTAACCCTAAATTATTACAAATTATGGAGTAAGTTGACTAAATACTAGTTTGTGAGTTTAGCAATGTGAATGCTTTTGTTTTGGCACAATACATAGTTTATATATTGGAGTATCACAGGCAAACTTATGACTAGTTAGGAATCATTATCTTAAGATTAAGATTCATATTTCTGTGCTTATAGTCAAATGAGTGAGTGAGTGAGTGCAAGTGTGAACCACCAGGTGGTTTTTATGTAGTTAGTTGACGGGGTGTATCAGGGAGATAAGATGTTTTCTAACGGTAGTTTTGAAGGTGATGAATGTGTCTGCAGTTCTAGAGTTTTCAGATAGGGTGTTCCAGATTTTAGGGCCTTTGACATACATTGAATTTTTGTAAGGGTTTAGTCGGACACGGGGAATGTCATAGAGATGTTTGTGTCTGGTGTTATGCCTGTGGGTCCTGTCACAATTATCCACTCCAAGAAAGTTATTTCACTTTAGGAGAGGGCAGTAAAACAGAGAAATCCTTACGTTAAGAAAACATTCTGGCAGAGATACAGAATTACTTTTTGAGTCTTGGAGATGGGAAGTACAGTGCCTGCACTCTGAAGGAGGGGTGTTAATGTTGCAGTTTAAAAACTGTAGTGTAAAACACCCTTCTGGCAAGACAGTGATGGAGTGAATGATGGTGAAAAGTTTTTCTTTTCGAGCCACCCTGCCTTGGTGGGAATCGGCCAGTGTGTTAATAAAAAAAAAAAAATTACAAGGGAAAACTGATCTCTTAGATGGATGGGTTAAGAAGTGAAAGTTGAGTGGGAGAAGAAAAATCATAAATATAGAAATCCCTTACTGAGCTTCCATAATATGAAAATTGTGTGTAATCAAAAATAATTTTGTGACGCTGCTGCTCCCAGTGTCGTCTTTCCCTTCGTTTTTCAAGAGCCTCTTCATCAAAGCGTGGTCGCTTCCCTCCTTCTTCATCACTTTCTTCTTCACTCTATAAGAGGCCAATTTCATATTAGTGTTCACTATAAAACATCTGAATTTATCTGGATTTGTTGTCTTCTACCTAAAACTGGCTTTCCGTCCTTATTTGAACATAAAGAGTATTTATTTTATGATCATTTTGATATTTTCCAACAAGTGTATCACTGTATGTCTAATGAAATTATAGCTCTTACTTCATCCTCCCGAAACACATCATCAAAAGCTGGGACTTCCTCTTCATCACCAAGCTTGGTCATGATCCGAATCTGAAATAACATAAAACCAAGTTTTCTTAATTGTAAATAAAAAGAGAAATGCATCACTGTCAAGCAGTTCCCTATCAGTACAGCTGTAGTGACTCAGCATCTTGAAATGGGCTCAAATGTATGCTCAAAAATTATAACATTTTAATGAGGGGAATGAAGTTAGTTTAATATGTTTATTATGCATCCCATACTTATGGTGTGGTAGTCACAAGATAACAGAGGCACATAATGGATCCAGGGACTGCACCACAGTGTTGATTCAATTCAATTCAATTCTATTCAATTCAATTCAATTCAAATTCAATTCAAAGTTTATTCTCTATAAGGATTACAATGCTGAGTTTACAGAATTTGGTTATTGTGTGCTTTACATGTAGTAAAATAATGATTACATAGTGTACCACTAGAACACCTGCATGGCTAGGCATTTCGGGCAGACTTAGTTTAATTCGTAATTTTAAAATATTACAAATTATGAGGTAAGTTGGTATTATGGCTAAGTGACTAAATACTAGTTTGTGAGTTTAGCAATGTGAATGCTTTTGTTTTGGCACAGTACATAGTTTCAGTATTGGAGTATCACAGGATTCATTATTTTAAGACTGAGATTAATATTTCTGTTTATGGTCAAATGAGTGAGTGAGTGTAAGTGTGAACCACCAGGTGGTATTCGTGTAGTTAGTTGACGGGGTGCATCAGGGACATAAGATGTTTTCTAATGGTAGCTTTGAAGGTGATGAATGTGTCTGCAGTTCTAGAGTTCTCAGGTAGGGTGTTCCAGATTTTAGGGACTTTGACATACATTGAATTTTTGTAAAGGTTTAGTCGGACACGGGGAATGTCGTAGAGATGTTTGTGTCTGGTGTTATGCCTGTGGGTTCTGTCACAACTATCAAGAAAGCGTTTTAGGTCAAGGTTGATATTGGAGTTTAAGGTCCTGTAGATGTAGATTGCACAGTAGTAAGTGTGGATGTACTGAACAGGGAGTAAGTTTAGATCTATGAAGAGTGGGGGGGAGGGGTGTTGCCAGGGATGGGATTTGGTGATTATTCTTACTGCAGCTTTTTGTTGGGTTATTATTGGCTTTAGGTGTGTTGCTGCAGTTGATCCCGAAGCACAAATAGCATAGGTGAGGTATGGATAAATAAGCGAGTGGTATAGTGTGAGAAGGGCATTTTGCGGCACGTAGTATGTATCTTGGAGAGGATCCAACCGTTTTGGATACTTTTTTGGTTATGTGTTGTATATGGGTGCTGAAATTCAGGTTGTTGTCAAGGTATAGGCCTAGGAATTTGCCCTCATTATGTCTGGTAATTAGAGTGTTGTCTATCTTAATGTTAATTTGTGCATCTACTGCTCTGCTACCAAACATAATATAGTAGGCTTTGTCAGTGTTAAGCGTAAGTTTATTGGCTGTCATCCAAGTCGATATTTTGATCAGCTCCTCGTTAACAATGGTGTGAGGGTGGCAGATTTAGGGTGAGAGATGACATAAGTCGTGTCGTCAGCAAAGAGAATGGGTTTCAGGTGTTGGGATACGTTTGGAAGATCACTGATGTATATGAGGAAGAGCAGGGGACAAGGACACTTCCCTGCGGAACTCCGTTTTCAAGTGGCCGTGTTGTTGACGCTGTGTCTTTAATGGTGACATACTGATACCTATTAGTAAGATAAGATTTGAAATAAGCAAGCGCATGGCCTCTTATACCGTAATGGTCAAGTTTGTGGAGTAGGATGTCGTGGTCTACTGTGTCAAAAGCTTTTCTTAGGTCAATAAAAATTCCTAGTGGATATTCCTTATTTTCCAATGCTGTGTAAAGCAGATCTAGCATTTTTATGATTGCATCATTAGTGCTTTTATTTTTCCTGAATCCAAATTGGCAGGGGTTGAGTAAGTTTTGTGCCATTATAAATGAATATAGTCTCCTGTGCACGAGCTTCTCAAAGATTTTGGATAGCAAGGGTTTAAGTTTGATATTGGCCTATAGTTGTTTAAGTCTGTAGGGTCACCACCTTTATGTATTGGTGTAACCCTTGCCATCTTGAGTAGTTTCAGGAAGGTGCTAGTTTCTAGTGACTTGTTAAAAAGTAATGAAATAGCATGCGAAAGGACATGGGCCGCTAGCTTGTACAGTATATTATTATTATATTCAAAAAGAAGTGCTAAGCCAAAAGGTGCTTGTACGTAATGGTGGGACATGAGACAGATTCCCTGAGTTATTTTTAAGTGACTTTATAATCTCGATGACTTTGGTGGGCTCAGTTGGTGCAAGATAGAAGGAATTTGGGAAATTCCCATCTAGGTAGTCCCCGGCATGGGCATTGGTATGTGGGATTTTATTGGCGAGATTAGATCCTATGGTTGAGAAGAAGTCGTTTATCTTGTTAGCTGTGTCAGTGGGATGTAGTGGTGTTTCATAAGGTTTAGTTAGGACAATATTCTTGGTTTTTTTCAGTTTGTGGGTCCCTAGAATTAGTGGCAATGAAAATATTCACATGTTATTATCTGGTAAACTGTGTTTAGTTATTTGTGCAGACACGAATTAAAGTAAAAAAAAATATTACCAAAATATTTAAGCAACATACACTTGTAAAAAGATGCGTTACTTACACTGGGCAAAGTTGGGTATTTTCTAGAATAGTTGGTAATATATCATTTGGGATAAAATACTTTGATATTTTTTGAGCATTTCTGAGCAAGTTGTCTTTGAATTAAATTTATTGCATTCCAGTACATGACTCAAGGTGTGACAACTGCCCATAATTTGTGAAGGAGTGTGCTGTGATGATGGCATCAATACAGCTGAAGGGATAGTAGTTAGGAATGGGGAATGAAGAACTCTGTTAATTATAGATTTTTTTTTCTCAACAAGTCGGCTGTCTCCCACCTAGGCAAGGTGAACCAAAAAGAAAGAAAATCCCCAAAACAAAAATATTTTCATCATCATTCAACACTTTCACCTCACTCATACATAATCACTGCTTTTACAGAGGTGCCCCATAGAACATTTTAGAAACTTATATAAAGATACAATATAAAAAGTGACCTGAAATAATTACAATATCAGAGCCCCAATTATATATATACCGTCCTATTACACATCCCACCAAACTGCCAATATCCCAAAACCCCTCCTTTAAAGTGGAGGCATTGCACTTCCTATTTCCAGAACTCAAGTCTGGCTATATAAAAATAACAGGTTTCCCTGAATCCCTTAACTAAATATTACCCTGCTCACACTCCAACAACTCGTCAGGTCCCAAATACCATTCGTCTCGATTCACTCCTATTCAATACGCTCATGCACGCTTGCTGGAAGTCCAAGTCCTGCGCTCACAAAACCTCCTTTACCCCGTCTCTCCATTCTTTTCGAGGACGACCCCTACCTCGCCTTCCTTCCCTGACAGATTTATACACTCTCCATGTCATTCTATTTTGATCCATTGTCTTTAAATGACCAAACCACCTCAACAACCCTTCTTCAGCCCTCTGACTAATATTTTTATTAACTCCACACTCTCCTAATTTCCATACTTTGAATTCTCAGCATAATATTTACACCAAACATTGCCCTTAGACAGGACATTTCTTTTGCCTCCAACCACCTCCTCTCTGCAGCATTTACAACCCAAACCTCGCACCCACATAAGAGTGTTGGTACCACTATACTTTCATACATTCCCTTCTTTGCCTCCAGTGATAACGTTTTTTTGTCTCCACATATACCTTGACGCACCACTCACCTTTTTCCCCTCATCAATTCTATGGTTAACCTCATCCTTCATAAACCCATCCGCTGACACATCAACTCCCAAATATCTGAAAACATTCACTTCTTCCATACTCCTCTCCAATGTGATATCCAATTTTTCTTTATCTAAATCATTTGATACCCTCATCACCTTACTTTTATCTATTTTCACTTTCAACTTTCTACCTTTACACACCCCCCCAAACTTGTCCACTAACCACTGCAAATTTTCTTTAGAATCCCCCAAAAAAAGCACAGCATCATCAGAAAAGAAACTGTGTAAACTCCCATTTTGTTTTAATTCCCCCAAAATTTTTAATCCACCCTTCCTAACACCTAGATTTACTTCTTCAACAAGCTCATCTTAAAATGTAAACAACCATGGTGAATTAACTTCCTTTTCTAAGATCTACTTTTCGGGATTTTTTCCTCTTTTAAAACCCCCTAACTGAGCCTCCCTACCCAAATAAAAAACTCTTTACGCGAAATAACTTATCCTCTTCCATTACTGAAAACCCCCTGCCACTTGTCCCTATCCCTTCATATGGCCTTTTTAAAACCCATAAATGCATTGAAACTCCCTCCTTTATTAAAATTTTCACTATATGTTCAATGTAAATACTTGATCTACCCCCCTCCCCCATTTAAAAGCCTCCTTGCTCTAAAAAAAACCTTACTCTTACGTCTTCCCTTAATTTTTCCCAAAATAAAAACCCTACCGTACATTTTCCCCTGGTTACTCAGTCAACTTATTCCCCTCCAAATTTTTAAACTCTTTTGTCTCCCCCTTTTTTTATACATGCTTTCCCAATTTCCCTAGGTACCCCCCCCTTTCCTTAAATTTATTAAAAAAAAATCCCAAAACCACCCAAATTTATCTTCCCTGCTTTTAACCTTTTGTCTGACCCCATCAGCCCAGCTGTTTTACCCCCTTTCTATCCATAAACTGCACAGTGTTTTTTCGGGAAGAAACAGGCAGAAAAATGATCAACTAAATCTCCAAAGGGAAAAGAAGGTCTGTAGGACTTTTTTTTTGTGCCCCCGGGGAAAGAATTTAGCATTTAAAAATGGTGACCCGGATCCAAAAAAGCCCCTCTGCCCGACGTCAATAGCGAAGGAAATTTTTCATCTTTTCTGACGTTTTTTGTTGACGTAAACATCATATCCCGTACCTCAAATTTCCCTGTACCCGTGTACGAGGAAAGGGGAAAAACGGGAATGTTTAAATCACAGTCAAAACTCCCGGTT